AATGTTCCAGACCGGAGCGCCGGATACTCAACGAAGTTCCTCGGGTCCTCGATCCAAGGCAGAGAGTTCCTTTGCATGTTCACTGGTTGGTTCCAACGCACGTTCCATCACGAAGCCCAACCAAATGCCATGAGCATTTACCTCCTTTCACTGACCAGAACCATCGTGAAATACCGACCAACCAAACCACCACGAGTCGGGCTTCAGTCTCCAACTGACCCTTCCTTCCCACATGCCGTGCCACACGGCCACCCAGGTACACCTTCGCCATCCTCTTCACCTTTTGCTATAGCGACTTCGTGACGAACCCCCCGGCGAGGATTCCTCCGGAGCAAAAGCTGCAGGTAGAGGATCAGCTTCGAAGATACTTTGGCTCCGTGCCCGCGTGCCGAGCTCAGGGATTGTGGATGGGAGCCCAAGCAGCGTGCCGAGCTCTGGGATTTGGTGAGTCACGCCAAGGTCACCATGGTCTTTTCAAACGACTTGGGTGAAAAACCCAGCAATGAAGACTCGGACTCTTGATGAATAACCCCCGCCATGTGAAGAGGTTGTAGCAGCGTAGCATCCAAAATGGAGGGTTATTAATCAAGATCCTACATTACCTTTGCCCTTTTGAGTCTTGGAAGAGAGAGTGCACAAAAGAGATGCTGTGCCAGCCTCTCAAGTCTTGCAAGAAATCGATGCTCCGAGACTTGATTGGTCTGAACGACCCAGCTGTCTTTTTCCCAGCTGTCTCTTCTTTGGTTTCCTTCCAAATCCGTGCCCCCGTGTCGCCTCGGTCCCGGTCCGCGAAATCCGCGCTTGTTCCGTTCCGTCGACAGGTCCATGCTGTTCCTCTTCGCAGCCATCAGCGATGGGATCAGCTGGACGAACATGTCGACGCCGCTCTTCCAAGCTGGATGGGTCTGGCTCGCCCTGCTCCGCAGCTGCAGCGTAGCGAAAACCGAACCGAAACGCCGCGGCACGCGTTTGGTCGAAGTTCCACGCAGCGAGCGGCGTTCGTCCGCGTTTGGTCGCCGCGAAGGCGTTCGGAAAGGGAAGGCGGAACCTCGCCAGGGAGCCTCGACCGGTTCATGGCGAGGTTTCATTGGTGTTTTTTTTTGGTGACCGTGGTGTTGATCCATCCAGAGTCACGTCTGAAGGATTTTGATCGGTTGGACGGACTGAAGATCACCTACCTGATCCATCTGCAAGGTCCTAGGCGAGAGAGGGCTAGTCTATGCACATGGGGTGTCACCAGCAGGTCTGTAGGTCTAGGTTTCAACAATTGGTAAAAGGGAATCAAAGGGACAGATGTTGGACGTGTCACCATTTTTTTTGTGGCTTCGCAGGGTGCTTCCCCTTCCCCTTCCCCTCACGTGAAACCACCTTTTTCATGTTTGTCTTGGCCCCACCGTTGACGTGCTGCCACGGATCAGGTTCATTGGATACATTGCTCTGGTGACGCTTGGAGACATCGATCGGCTTCGCGACGCTCGGGTCGGCTCGGTCAAGCGTTACCATGGCCTCTCCGCCGAGCACTTGGACCGATGCGCGTCATGGTGGATGCGGAGAGGGTCCGCCTCGTCGCTCTAAGGATCTTTGCGGTGCTCAACGTGGCGACTTGGGCCGGAACGGACTGGGGGGGGTTGTACATGGTGGATGCTCCGCAACCAGGTTAACAAACCCACATCAAAGTCGCATAGGACACCAGTGCCACCGTGGCTGCTTTGGGCGACAGCCGGCGACAGCGCCAACAGTGGGGTGCTGGTTTGAGTGGCTAGTTTGGTGCTGACTGCTGTCCTTGTTGTGCCTTCACCATGCAGGAGACTCATGCTTTGTTGAATGTGGAGATGCAATCATTGCTACGGTGTATTTTTGGTTGCAAACTAGTGGAGGCTCTTTCGCAAACCACACCGGTTGAACCACTTAGTTACTTGGTCAAGTCCATGGTGGGTGAAGAGTGAAGATCGTGGCCCTGTGTGTCGTTCTTGCTTGACGTGCTCCTGTTTTTGTTGGGTGGTGGGGGCTATGACAACTCAGTGCTCTGGATGAAACCGTCCAGATTCAGTATGACCGTGTGTTTTCTCCCTACAACAATGGAAAGTGGACCATGACCCTTGGATGACCATTTTCCGCCAAAAACAGGTGGTGCCATCCACTTCCATGAATTCAAGGAGTGTATAATATACCTTGAAACTTGGATGCCAGCCAGCTCCAGAGCACCATTGGTGCTTGAATTGCCCAGCTCAATCGGACAGACCTCTCTTGAAAACCCCGTGGTAAGCAGCGCTTGGTTGGTGTATTGAACGACGGTCGCGTCGTTCAATGGAGCCCGCGACCCAGGCAGCAGTTCGCTAAGGCTAAGGAAATAAGGCACGGCTGGTAGTGTTTAGAAGATGGCTCCAAGGCTAGTGGTGTGCTTCGTGGTTTTCTTTTTGTGTTTCCTGGCTCGTAGTGGAGACTACTAGCCCCAGAACTCTGCTCTCAACTCGCAAGTGGCGGTCTGATTCTTCTCGGGGTTTCGCCACAGTAAGAATTCGGCTCGGCAGAGCGGTGCTGAGCTTGTTCATGGGCACCGTGAATTGAAATGAGATGACATGAAACTGGTTTCGTCCAAAACTGCTTGGGAAGAGGTGTGAGCTGACAGTAGCTTTCCCCCCCCCCAAGACCCAGGTGACCGGCGTGTTCTGTCGGAAGCTCAGTGGCCCGAGGGTGTATCGGTGCAAAGCGACCGACTGAACTGATCTTAAAAGCATCCTACATTCTCTTCGTCCGCAGTAGAATGTTTGTTTTTTCGTGCAGCCCAGCCAAACATCCACACGTCCAGCCAAGCTCATGTGAACACATCGAGGAGCTGCATGAAGTTCTCACGAAGCAGACAACAACTGTCCCTACAGGTCTTACGGACCTCATTTGACTGTGTCCGGGAAAATGCAAAACCAGTACGAAAAATGAGGTCTTGGTCTCTTGGACTTGTAGGGTGTGCTTGCATCAACTGTACTTGCATCCCTACTATGCAAGTTTTCAGCACCGGACCGGTGATTGCCAAGTTTAAAATACCAGGCATGAAACAAGACCCACCATTCTTTGGAGACTGAGTTTTTGGACCACCGGGTAGGTACATGACCCTGACAGTTGATACGCCCTTCTTGAGTCCACCTCGCTTGACTGGTAGTGATGGACTCATAGACTCAAATTTCAAATCCAACACGTCTCCTGGTGAAACCACTCGCCCAACTCCCCCAACTCGCCCAAGATAGACCAAACGAATGCCTGGTGTTTTGATGGCCGACGAATGCCTGGTCGTTGCACCGAGGTCAGAATGCCATCGAATCGGCATCGCTGGATCAGGCGCCGTGTCCGGTGCGGATTCGATGCTTCTTCGGTGGCGTCCGCTGGCGTCCGGTTTCAGCGGCTCAGTCTGAAGAGCCTTGAAGGCTGTCCACTTGAAGGGGCATGTTGAAAGTAGGTTTGATCATGGCCATGAAATCCTCAGTTGGAATCAGTGGTGAAAAAACACAGCACCTGCTTGAAACCGAGGATTTCATGATCTGCCCACATGGCTTTTGGGGCTTTTGGGCATGCCATCCACGTAAGTGGAGCCATTGGGTGCTGTTGGAGCCTGGAAGCCTCCAAACGGTTGGGAGGTTGGGCGCATGGTCCAACCGCAGGGTGCGGACCTTCTTGAGCAGATTTGTCCCGCTTCTGAAGGTTCTTTTTGTCGCTCTGAAGGTTTTGTGTCGGTGGAAGATGTGGCTGTGGGTCCAAACCAAGGGACGGTTTTTCCGAACATGAACAGAATAGACTACTGAGACATGGTCAACCCACCAGGGTTAACTGGGCTCGGCTTCCGACGCCGCAGGAAATGGTCATCGAGGCGCAGCTAAAGCGTCTTGGATAACTGATACTTCCACTCTTTGGAAGGACTTTGATGTTGATTCTCGAGAAAGCCTCTATCTCTATGGCAGACTATGGTGTTTTAGTTTTTGCTTTTTGGGGAGGGGAGCATTTATTGGACTGTGGCATGCTTCGATGGACGGACTTGTTGAAGGTGGGAGAAGGTGAATCGGCGAGTGTCCACCGAGTTCTTCACCACCAATTCTGTGTGTCCAAGCAATTGGTGGTTGGCTGACAAAACCGTTTGGCCTCCCTGTTTCAGCACGGAGGCTTCTTGGACCTGGACCTGTTTCAGGCTGCTTCAGGCTTGGACCAACATGACACCATCCGATGGTGATTCGTTTCGCTCCGAATGACCCACCGGTTCTGTTTTCGCTCTGAAACCGACGGAGGAATCCAAGGACGGAACACATTCCCACCGACCTGTGAAACACTCTGAACCTGTCACCGAAACGGCCAGACTTGGCCGAGTTCCTGCAGGAAGCCCCCCCACCCAGGCATGTGGCTGGTACGGCTGGACTTATGGGCACGGTTGGACCACCACGTGGTCCAAGCTGAGGTCGAAGAAGATGTACACCGATCAGGTGAGGACCTTATTTAATCTCATGGACGAGGCGGGAGTGTTCGTGAGGACTAGGCTGGCTGATGGGGGTGGCCCCGGCTTGCAACGGGCCGACCAATTGTTCGACTCCAGGTACAGTATATAGCTTTGTGCTCGAGGATGGTTGTTGAAATGGATCTGGAAGCAAAAGACAACTTCTGCACATGAGAGAATCGTACGGACCTAGCGGCATAGCATTTGCATCCGTCTGTGTGCTGTTTGCCTTCATCCATTTCCACTGCCCCAACGGGGGCAGGGACCCGGAACCTCTTGTTGATGCTGCAATCCACCCTTCAGGGGAAAGAGCACCCATCGTCCTCGCCTTCAACTCGTCCTCGCCACCAACGACCTCAGTCCCAGCGGTCGACAACGAAGAAAAGTCGCCCTCCGCGAAAGACCGTCGAAGGAAAAGGTCGCCGAACAAGTAGCGGTATAGCGGTGCGTAGAAGGCGGTGCGTAGAAGGCCGTGCCCCGAAACACCCCACCACCCCACCGCCGAGTTCCAACGAGTTTTCGCCAGGGCAACTGTGGCGAGCTCACGGCCCATGTCTTTGAGGAATACATCAACGAGCCGCAGGTGCAGCGCCACCGCGGAGAGACAATGGACACCTCCGGGTGCGCCAACGCGCCACACCAGCGTGGCCCAGCGTGCGCTGGTTGGGAGACACCACAGCCGTCAGTGGGTCCACCAGCGTGCAGTCAGGAGGTGTGGTCCAACGATCTGGTGGTTTTTTCACATGTGCAGCCAGTTTTTGCCTCCACGTGGGTACACTTGGAGCTCGATCATTAGGGCTGTAGAGATTGAAGCCGTAGCGCTCTTTAGCCTCAGAACAAAATGGAACTGTTGATTCTATCTTTTGTCATTCTTGGGGTCTTCATACCTGTTGGGTCAGGTTTCTGAGTTTTTTCACACACTACTTTGCTACATCCATGAGTCATTCTTGGTAGAGCTTTCCTTCCGACCCCAGAAAGATTCCAGTTTTGTGACCCACAAAACACGGGATCGGAGTTATGTACTATGCAGCAATGCAGGTGTTTGAATCAATGATATGCGAGATCCACGGGCACTTAGTCAGGCAACCGATTGTCCGGGCCCGAGATCAGCGCCCCTGGATTTTCCTCCATCCCCTTGGAGCGGTCCTGGACGATCCGCTCGACTCGGAATTGCGTGGGAGGTGGCTGCGTACTTCCGTGCGCTGGACATGGACTTGAACAATGCCTGGAAGCTTCTGAGCTACCGTTTTGCTGTCATTTTTGGGTGTGTGATCAGCAGCTGAAAGTATCGTTTAATTCATTTTGTATGTGAGATATAAACAGACCACCAAGTGGTCACACTTCTAGACCTCTAGACTTCGGGACCATGAGCAAGCCGTTTGCTGACGCTGGGAACACACGCCACCACTTGCGCAAGTCATCCATTTGCTCCCCTTCCGGGAACGTGTGGCCCCTTTGGTTGCTTCCAGTTTGCTGAGGCTTTTTACACTGCTGGATCCAGACGCTGGGAAGATAAAACCGATGCACGGAACTGACCGACGAGTTCGGCCTTCTTCGTCTCCTGTCGTTCCCCGGGGGTGCACCAGTTTCGCCTGCTTCGTCATGCTCCTTCAAGAGAAGCACGAAGCACAGCACCTTCTTTCTAGATGTCTCAGGTGCTTGGACATCTCTAGTCCCTGAAGCTCGAACCATCGAAGGCCAATGCCAACAGTCCAAGTTTCGGGCCCTTTTGCAGACTTGAAGCCCTCAAGATGTACACTTTCATCACAGCTCATGACATACTTTCATTTTAAAGATGTACAACGGACAGGAGTCTTCGTCAACGGACAGGACCGGCCCAACCAAAAACCATTCGAGGCCCGTTTTTGAAGCGAACATTCTCTGGATGAACACACCTCCGAGACCCGGGGAACCGTTCACGTGGACCGTTCACGAAGCCCTGGGACCGGCGCTCGGGGATCATTTACGGGAATGACCCCCCCCTCCAAGACGGACTGCGAAAGGTCTTCGGACTGCGAAAATGGCTGGATCCTGTTCGGTCTCATCCACCCATTCTGGCAGTCCGTCCGTGTGGAGGGGGGGGGTCATTCCCGTAAAGGTCCCTGGGTGCCGGTTGTCGGGCTTCGTCGAGACGAAGGCCTCACCCTTTTGGGGGCGGCGCGGCGCGGCGCGGCGCGGACGTTCCTGGTGTCTTTCGTTTGATGTTTTTTGGGGGCCGTGTTGATCCCCAATCCCAACGACGCCCTGGCAGTGAAGAAACATACTCGTAGCACTGGTAGCTGGGTCGGAGTTTTATGAGACCTGTCGGATGGATCAGAGATCCAACACTTGAGGGTCTCAAAGAACAAGCTCTCCCAAGAACAGCCCCGAGGTTAAGGAGTGTCCTGGTATAGTCGTGGTTTGAGTCATGTCAATGTTCCATTCGGCCTGAACATACTTCGCAGATGCTGAGGATGGTAGCGGGACAATTGATCTCAACGAGTTTGTGGAAGGCCCGGCCCGGACCTCTCTGAGACCATGAATCACGGTGAACTGATGCACAGATGGTGTCTGACCTCACTGGGCGGAGGCATGACAACCGGGCGTGGCAACAGTCATCAACCAGAGAATCTTCGTTCTTGAGGCACCAACCAGACAATTCCCAAGCCGTGCCAAAAGACTTGCACATTGGTTCTAGATTCCCTAGATAGCTGCAATCAAGGATTGAGCATGACCCTGCTGTATCATATTCGTTCACACAGACTTCCCACCCCACAGCTTCCTCGACCAAGTTTAACTTGGTGGTTAGTAACGACAAAGTTAAACCTTGTGGTTGGAAGGGATGGGGGACCAGGTAGATGGATCATGGTGCCCACATTTGCATCAAAGGGCTTCCTCTTGCAAGAGCCATTTCTTGGTTCATTAATTCAGTGCAGTGTGGCATGCGTCTAGGGGCCAGAGCGTTACGCAAGCGTCAGGCTCTTAGATTAATGAAGTGATGCTCAATCACTACATGTGCCCCTTTAATTCATTTGCCCAGGCCATGCAGCAGATTGTGGAGATGATTTGTTTGAAAGAGGCCAGGTGGCCCTACTGCTTGCAAGCAGCCCATATACTTTTTGAATGTAGCGTTCGTGATCGTTCATGAACAAGTTCGCAAGTGGATCTTTGAGGATCCTGCTGATCATGAGATCTCTTGGCACTTGGCTCAAACATTTTTTGAAGAACACACGGCACCTTGATCCATCTACCTGGTCCCCCCGAATTTTCTTTATCACCGCCATCCCACTCTCCCAAAGGATTCTGTTTGTGCTGCAGCTAGCGCAATGCCGGAGTCCAAACCCAAGCCTGAGCAAGTTGAGCTGCTCAAGGAGTGCAGCATTCGCTGCCATACATGCTAGTGGGGAAAGGATATAATCGATTTAATCGATCGATCCCATAAGCCGTTCAGTTTCTTTATATGAGAGGAGTTCTACGAAAGTTTCCTCTCGGCTGACTATATCAACGATCGGATGGCAGAAATCAAAAAACACTTGAAGAGCAAGAAGGCCAGTTTTGGAGTTTGCATTCTTAACACTGCTACTATATGGCCAATGTTGAGACCCCAAGATCAGGCCCCAGTGGTGTTCACCTTCATGGACGTCACTTCAAAGTTCATCGATGAGGACCAGGCAAGGTGACCATATTGTCGACCAAGTCGTTAAACCATATCGTCCATATTACCATTTGCAGGTGACCTTGAAGAGCAACTACGACTTCATTCTGCGGTGGGTGTCGGTATCCACATTTGTTGGCCAACCACCTACCAAAAAAGAGGTGCAGGCCTGCTCAACTTTGTCTATCCGAACTTGAATTGCAGCCCCAAACCTCCAATGTCCTCCCAGGCAGCCTTGGCCTATGTGAACAAGCATCACCGCTTGAACAGCTTTGAAGATAAAGAAGCAGAACAGGACTATATGAATTCATCACAACTGAATTCTTCATCTAGATTATAGCTAGCATGAAGAGTTCAGCCTGAATGCGTCCAGGACTGGCTGGAGACTGAGGGGAACCTGCACCGGGGTTGTGCCAGCTATGTTGCTGAAAGAGCAAAGCGAAATCCAGGATCGAGGCCCGGTATATCACCTCACTGATTATTTTTAACCGAGGTTTCTTAATTGAGGCGGTCTTGATCATGACCCTGGTGCCAACCAATAACACAATTCAAAAGAACTAATTCATTCCAGGCCTGGGCATACAGCTATGAACACCCTGAAGAAGGCCTACAAAAGTGCGATGCAGGCGCACCAGATTGAAGTCCCAGCTAGCTTAATTAAACCCGCGCCACTGACTGTCAGGAGTACCGAGATGAGCACCCGAACAGAGTTGTCAGATCTGTCTGGGTCTCAACTGATTATACCAGTGGTTTTGAGGCAAATACTGAGAAATCCATAGAGTGCTTTCTTTCAATCTTCAACTAGAGCCTGAAATAACAGAACCACCCCATGCGCACGCTCAGGCTGGAACCCATCCTCCAGTTTCCGAGCCCATGGCTAAGTCTGCTCCTATTCGGGCGTCATTTGGGGAGAGTTTTGATGACGATGACGATGTTTGGGTTGAGAACCTCCATCCTATGAACGAAGATGACCCACCAACCAAGATGCCTTCCGAGAAGAAGTCAACCCCGAAGAAACGAAACTGGAGATTGAGACAGCCTTCACATGTTGACATTTGCAAACAGCTTTTCCCACTCTCTGGGCCACCGAAGCAGCCTATCGATCTAGATGCAGACCAAGAGGAACAGGGTTCAGAGGTTGAAGAAAGTGAAGAGGATGAGGAAGCAAAGAAAACAAAGTCTAATGACAAGGGGACCTATAAGGACCAATTTTTTGTCACATATCATATATGCATGTCATGTATCAGTGCGTTTTTTACTATTTAAACATCACCAACCAATGAAACCCATGATGTCCAGGACCGTGGGCCTTTGTGTGTGCCACCCACACTCCCCCAAGCGGCCGCTGAAGCTACCGAGAAACTGATCTCCAGGGAGAACAGCCTTGGAGCTGAAGATCTTCAAAAGGCCTGGCCATGTTCGATCGTTTTCGTGCCCGGCTTCAATCAACGAAGATCAAGTGGTTGGGTTTTTGGTGCTAGGCCCAAAGAGTTCTTCGCAAAGCTGCCAGGGATGGGGGAGAAGGGGAAGAGCGGGGAGAAGACTCGTCGCAATGTTCAGAAACTTTGCAGCAGAAGAAGCCACCTGCTGGGAAAGCAAAGGGGGGGAGAGGCAAAGGAAAGGGGAGAGGAAAAGGCAGGGGTAAGGGCAGGGGCAGGAAACCAAGTGACCCAAAAGCTGAAGCAATGAAGGAGAAAAACCGAGTCAAAGCAAAGGCTCAACCTCAACAGATTGAACATGATCCCAATTCCCAACCCCCGAAGAAAGCAAAAACAGAGAAGACAGTCAATATGGATCAGGACTCCATCTGGTAAACCTGCCAGTTTATATGTTTTACATATTCGAATATGGACGCCCGTATGTCATACGCAGGATATGGAAGAACTCTCACGTATTGACGATGGCCTTTTCTATGTTGAAGACATTGCTGGAAAGGCACAGGTGTACCAAACTTATTTTCCTTCTGGAGATTGGGATTCCTTTTAGCCGGCCGCGCCTTGCAAGTGTGTCATCCTGAGGTCGTGGACCATCCAAGGGCCTGACGGACATCAAAGCATTGGTGTGGTGCCGGGGGCTCG